ATCGTGGATAGGCCGAGAATTTTTGAAGCCAAAACACCAACCCAAAATTGGGTTTAGCTTATCTGTGAGTATATACCGTAGGCTTTTCCCACAGGTTTTTTAAAGTACCTGTATATTCCTTATATACTTATGTATAAACCCATCCGCAGATAAGCTGACCCTCAAATTTTAAACCAAAAATTCCATGAAAAATGAGCCACCTGTGGAAAAGGCAACGGTGAAAATTAAAACATATGAAAATTTTGAGGGTTGGCTTATCTGTGGGTGGTGCATTTTTCATGGTATTTTGGTTAAAAATTCAAGAGTCGCCTTATCTGTGGATGGGCTTATATGCAAATATATATGGTGTGTGTGTGTGTGTTTGTATTAATATTACACAACCATGTTGTTAAAAAACATTTAATTAAAAAATCTGTTATATAATTAAAATGTCCTCAGGGGGGGAATCACTAATCCCGCTTTAACACGTTTTGCCTTGGGATTTCTGGGACAACAATCTGGTCTGTGCTTGTGAACGCTTAGAAATATTTTAATATTGTGATTAAAGAAGAGCCTTTTGCTTAGAATTGGCAACTGACTGCCTAAACAGTTCTGAACTGGAAAGGAGATTAGCTTGTTCAGAGACACAAATAAGCTCTAGCATTTTATCAGATTACTAGTGTTTCCTGTTCTAAAATTATTTAGTTATGGCAATCAGAATAAAGAGAAGTTTTAAAAGCTTATCGGCTTAATCTTTTGAGTCCACTGACTTGTCCTCAGTGGCAACTGATCTGGCTTTTTTCAACAGGAAGCCAAAAGAAACGAGTAGAATATTTCAGTTCATAGGCAAGTGCCAAATTCTGCCCCTGATGCAAAACCAGTCTGAAAGGAATTCTCACCCTGAAGTCCTTACAGAAGTGCAGCTCAAGATCAAATTAAAGACAATTCCCAGTGTCAGTACTGGGGGAAAGGCATCTAACTCTCAGAAGTTAACAAGGATCCACTAGGAAGGCTGTAAATTTCAGAACCAAGCTTGGCTGGGGTTTATGGATATTTCAATTTGCTCCAAAGTCACATAGCCTGCTTGCCACCAAACTGGTATTTACTGAAACAATTATGTAGCATTAGAAGATGCTTTCAGAGAAGGTCTTTCTCATAAGACAGCCCTGCCTAATTCATGGAATGAGATGCAGATAAGGACGTTTTCTATTTGTTATCTTTCAGTGTTTTATCCTAATGTCTTCCATATTCTTCTTTCCAAGAAAAAGCCACTAAGGAGGAAAAGCCGGAACAGCAGCACAGTATTGTTTGGAAAAAAGCTGGCCAAAAGCCCTCCAACTGGAAGCATCCAAATATCTAATTTGTTCTCTTCCACCCATGTATTGTCACCATGTACTGTTGTAGCTTTGACACCATGTTGCCACCCACACTTCAATAATCAGATAGAATAAAATCCAAGTATGGACAGTACTGCGGCTGGAATGCATTATTCTGGGACCCACCAAGAACTCACCCTCTCTCAATCGCCATGTCACCTTATAGCCTGTAGCCCCAGGAACCCGATTCCAGGTAACACGCAATTGATTGGGCCCAGCTGGAGCTGCCTCTAGCTTGCTGATGCTGCCTACAGGTGGAGATTCTACAAGGGCAAGCATATAGATGAGGGAATGATGAGTAAAATCAGTTGAAAAATAATAAAATGGTTAGTAGCCATTATTCATTATAAATCATTTCACATATAGTATTTAGAGTTGTTCTTCCTGTTCTTCTTGAACATTACCTCAAGAACCTGTGCAACCAACCTGCCAGAGAGGGAGGTATTCTTTTCAGTCACTGGAGGAGGGGAGCTGAGGCTGCAATATCCTACTTTGCCTAAAGTCCTCGACTGTGTTTATCTTCTTCTCCCATTCTGATCTTTCTGCGGAGCCAGGATAGGGACAAGGGCGAAAGACCAGCATTTCACAATGCTCTGAGTATTTAATGGGAAGCCCAGATTTGCACAGCTGAAGCAACCTAAGTTTTAAAAGACATTAGGAGGAGCATGGTCCTGCTTTGCTACTGCTGCGTCAAATCTTGACCAAGGTTTACTGCTAGGCCTTTCCCAGCCATAACAACTCTGCTGTGCTGAAGAGGTTAAAAAAAAATCACAATGCAGTTGCCGAAAGGAGGAAGTAGCTCCGGCTTCACAAGAGAACGCACCAACTTGGAGACTAAGGGTGGCAGGAGCGCTTTCTTGGGTGCCCAACTGCGTCGTTATTTGTACTAAGTATGTGACACCCTCCTTCAGATCCTGCAATTCAAAGAAACTCCGGTCGCCAGGAATTCTTTTTGTCTCCTCTGATCCATCTGAAACAATATGCAGAGGAAGCAGAATCAACCTGTGCTCGTATGGCAAACGTTAGTTAACTCGCAACCCTATCTTTCCATATAAGTCAAACAAAAACATTATTTTTCAACCCTGGTTCACACACTCATATTTATATCTTTCATATTACTATTTTTTACTATTTTTTATATAATTATTATATAATTATAATTATTATTGTATTGTTAATTTTTCTGTTTTTTTGGAATTATGTTTTAATTGTAAGCCGCCCAGAGACACAAATGTGAGATGAGAGGCTATATAAATCAAGTAAGGATATGTGTCTATGTCTATGTCTATGTCTATATATGTGTGTGTGTGTCCCCTGAATCACTTTTACCATTTCCCACCATTTTCACTTTGGACTTCCAGTTGGTCTCTGTTTCTCTCCACCTCATTTTCCCACAAACTCCAGGCCATTTTCTCTCATAGTCACCAGCATAAGCATTGCAAGCAGAATAATGCATAGCACTAAAGTGAATTGTTCTTTTATCACAAATGACTACAAATGCACATTCATACTGCAGAATTCTGTTACTAGGAAGTGGAGAGACACACTGGAGTTACTTATTGGATAAATTGTGAGAATTACTTACTTCAGGATTTTCAGAGATTGTGCTTTTATGCATACAGGTAGTCCTCGCTTACGATTGCTCATTTAATGACAGTTTGAAGTTACGACGGCCTCGGAAAGGGTGCTTTACGGTCTGTAAAGCACTTCTGGCCATTGTAAAACATCGTGCCGCCCCCCGCCCCCATGGTCATGTGGCCGCATTTCAGGCACTTGGCAACTGGCTCGCATTTATGACTGGATGCCAGGCACCCTGCGATCATGGGATCCCCATTTGCAATGTCTTCTGCCAGCTTTCCCAGAAGGTCAATGCAGGGAAGTTTGCAAGCAGAGGGGAGGGAAGGAAACCTCTCAGTGCTGTGCAGGAGTGGAGCAGAAATCTTCAGGATTTGAGCTTCATACCTTCACACTGCTGAGAGATTTCCCCCCCCCCCCCGCAGTGGTGTGCAGGAATGGAGCTCAAAACCTGAAGATTTCCGCTGTGTTCCTCCAACCCCAGGAAGGATTTACCTTCTGTCCAGAGAGTGGAGGGCAAACCCTTAGGTGGGCTTTAGGAACATTTGAGAGCGAAAGGGCTGTCTGCCAGGAGGATTTCAGCTCTCCATGGAGCTAGAACTGTCAGGCAGGCAGCCCTTTCACTCTCAAAGAGCTGCTTGCCGGGAGGGTTTCAGCTCCGCACTGAGCTGAAATCTTTCAGCAGACAGCTCTTTCGCTCCATCTGCTTAACAACTCAGGAGATTACTTAACGACAGCAACTGGGAGTGTCTGGATTGCTGTTGTTGAACAAAGCAGTCACATGGGTGTCCCACTTAATGACCGCTTCACTCAACGATTGAAATTCTGGTCCCAACTGTGGTTATTAGGTGAGGACCACCTGTAATAGGAAACCAAGATTTTTTATACCAAGAAAACAGTGGCACATTATTGTAAAGCCCAAAACAAAGAAATCATACTATGGCTTAGTGTTAAGTGCAAGCCTGGCCACTGAGGTAATATTAATTAAATAACAAATATAAATATAGTTATATACAAACTAAATATAACTACTGAAACCACAATTAACTACAGCATGATTAATGGTAGCATTGTACTTAAACAGTGAGAGCTGTTTTCCCAGCTTCAGAGAACATGGTCAATGGCCACTAATGCCATTTTTGCCATTCCTCACTGGGCGAAAGCTATAGATTACTCAGTTAATCTTTGACTTCATTGTTTCCTCTCCTCTTAGACCCCCAAAGAGCTCAATTAACTCTGCTGCCTTCTCTCACTTTCCTCCTCTTCTGCTTCTCCTCCAACTGACTCTCTCTTACAAATTCCTTTTATCAACTCCTTTTCCTCTTGGGGCCAGTTACTCTGTCTCAGTCTAACCTACCTCACAGAGTTTTTGTTGCTGTGGGGAAAATAGGAGGAGCAAGCATTATATATGCCTTGAGTGATACAGAATAAGGCAGGATATGGGATGGATGGATGGAGGGATGGATGGATGGATAGATCTCTTCTATATGCCCACCTCCAACTTGAAAAGTGAAAAAGTGAGATACCCCTCTTTTCTCTCCACTAGGTCCCCTTTCTGCTTTGCACAGCTTGAATTCTTTTGCAGCCAGAATTATCTAGGCACACAGAAGGTCCTTACCCTGAGTGTTGATAATCACCAATTTATAAGCTGTAGCCCTGGGGATGGGAGTCCACAACAGCCGGACGCGACCCAGTCCTACCGGCACCATGCGCAGGTTTGATACACTGCCTACTAATGGTGGTCCTGCCACAGAGGGACAGAAAACATGATTACTGGAAGAATGTGGCAAGGTTACAAGATGTTTGGAGTTGGACGTAATTAGCAGGAGCAACTAAAGCCGACAAGCAGGAACAAAAGTACTGAAATGAATCCAATTCATTTCTGGATGTCTTTTTGTCAGCATTAAAACAAAATCATTATGGCAGCATTAGGAATCCAACTGGCTTTGGGGACTAGATGGTGTATGTTTAGTTTCCAGTTACTTAAATATGCAGTATGAATAGGCAGTTTTCAACTCATCTCAAAGCCTGAACCCCTATCTCAGTTAATCTGGTAATGAGACTGACATGTTGCTGGGCTGAATTGTAGAAGGGGTATCAAACCAAAGCAAGATATAAGCCTTCCTTTTGCAACTCACATTTTTATGTTCTCCAGATCCCCTGCATTAGGACATATATTGTCACCAGCAGGACTAGAACATATAGCAATTATCAACAGTCTTATATAAGCCAGGAAATGTTAGTAATCAGAATACTAATTTTTGAAAGTGTATATTCTATTTAATAATGTAAACATAGAAAAACTGGTGAATACAGGATTCCTGGTGTAAATGAAGTTCTTGGGAAGAGCTATAGGACTGAACAAGTGAGCAAAAGACTCATTCATAATCTCCTTATTAAACCATGGTATGAACACTAGTACTGGCTCAGTGTGGGGCAATACGCAATAGGTTAACACAGTCAGCACTCAGAGATGACTTACAGAAGGCTTAAATAATAGTTCATATATTTGGATGGAAAATACAAATATATTCCACAACATGGATAGTTCTGCATATATGATTATAATGAAATGGAACACTTGATGATCTTTCTTTTCCATTATCTTCTATTTGGAACAAATGACTTGTTTATAAATCTGCCATTTGCTTGTGGATGCAGCTATATCTGTAACTTACAGGACAGTGATATTTGGCAAAGCCAACTGGAATCTGAATCAAGGGGTAAAATAAACAGTTGCTCCTTCTTTTAGAGTCCATCTTACATAATGGCATGTTATGGAAGCTAACAACTGTATGCAATTGTGTTTTTGTTTTTTTGCATTATTTTATAGTTGAAGAACTCACAATGACCAACTTCATTAAATGACAGTCTGTTTCTACACAGCATAGTAGCCTGGCTTGGGCTTGCAAGGAGAACAGCTGAGTAAACGCTTGAAACAAAGAGACTAACCTTTTCCTCCTTTTTATAACATACCCCACTCAAATAATTGTGAGTAAGAAGTATGTTTCCCCATTTTTCTCTCCTGCAGTGTTGTTTTACTTACATTGGGTTAGGACAAAAACTCTCTTTATTAGAATATCAGAAAGGTGAGTAATTCCAAAAGTGCTTCTGTGTGGGGAACAAGAGGGCAAAAGAGGCAATGGTCCATAGAGGTAGGGTTAACTCACTCAGTTAACACTTACGGATCCGGACGTTGAGAGGAACAGCATTACCCTCACGATTGCCGATAAGAGCTGACACACGAACCACATAGGAAACATTCTCTTTCAAATCAACTAAGTCCTCTGTGGTCTGGGAGCCTGGGATATGTCGAACCCTCTCAGTGCCATCTACAGCAGAAACCACAATAGTTGTGAATATGAACTCATGACTGTGGTTTTCTAACTCAAAGCCTGTTTCATAAAAAAAAAAAAATCTTAGACCTTGTAGTTGCAGCATAAGGTTACAAAGAGGCAGAAATCTGAGGTTGGATAAGGAGAGAGGTGGGTAAGGTAAGACTTTCAATTGCCCACAAACAAATCACTTCAGCTTTCAATGAAGGATTTATT